ATTAGATTTGTTGATCGATAACTCCTTCCTCTTACCTTCTCCATGTCTTATTAATCTTGGAGTTGAATGTTCTGTGCTCAGTTAATAGTATAGAAAATCTCTTGATTTTTTGCTTGATATTTCGTAACATGGAGCATAATTATATTGTTGCCTTACAAGGGTGATATTACTTATAGGCGGATCAAGGGTAAGGCAGCACAAGCAATGCCTTAGGGCCCCCAAATTTTGGGGGCCCCACTTTCCCTTAGTAGTAATTTTAATTTTTTTATATAAAAATTGAGTAACTTAATGTTAAAAAATAAACAACTTAATACAAAAAGGAAAAGAAAATTTTAATTTGTGACTAGCGCTGATAGTTGAGATTTTAATAATTTAAAGGGTATAAAGATATCTTTGATTTTTTTATTTAGTGGGTAAAATTTGATTTTTTATTTAAATGGTATAAAGATATATTTTATTTTTGACAAGAGTGGGTTGCTCTAGTGGTGAGCACCCTCCACTTCCAATCAAGAGGTTGTAAGTTCGAGTTACCCCAAGAGCAAGGTGGGGAGTTCTTGGAGGGTGGGAGCTGAAGTTAAAGGAAATATTACAAGTAGAAGATAATACTCTGATCCGTATACTCAATAAGATAACAAGAATTAATTTTTGTTAAATACCTATATTCCTCATAAAACAGTATTCCTATAGCAATTTTGCATTAGGATCAATAATGTATTAGGAGAATCTAAATGGATCGGATTAGCTATATTATCATTTAAAAAGGTTAAAAAAAATAGATTTCAAACAAAAATATACAAATTTATTTGAGATTTTTACCTAGCTATACTATATCAGAAACTTATTAACTACTTTTCTTTATGTTCCTTAAAAATTACTTTATGTATCTATATTTACTATTTATGTACAAAATCAAGATAAAAGAAGGATCCCCTAAATATAGGGATTAATTTGTAACTGTATCCCTCATCCCCATCTATCAGCTTAAATAGCCTCCTACAATCACGATTTTCTTCCCAATTTCAAAAGATTTTAAAGTCATTCTCTCTTTCATACAAATCAACCAATCTCTCTCTCTCTCTTTCATACAAATCAAACAATTATCTTTCTAATAACATAATATATTCCTGTGAATCCCCATCAACAACCATTAAAAAATTTTAACTATTGACAAATCCAGCGACATTATCTCTGAAATTGTAGGCAGAGGGTCTGCCATTGACATACCATTAAAAAGTTTCGAAACTTTGAACTAGATATCCGAATTTTATGAATTTGTGATTTTTTTTTTGGATTGGGTGTTCTTGAAAACGATTGAAAATATCCTTTAGAGTTCATATCTCAATTTTAAGGGAGATTGGTTAAGTTTAAAGTTGGTTTTAGGTAGAATTTCAGAATAAAACTCGAGAAAGAAGAAGTTTCGGAATTGTATTACGATTGTATGATAAATGTATCATAATTGTATTTGAATTGTATTTGCTACATCAATACCTAAGACAATTCTGATACAATACTAATACTATTATAATTCAATATTGTATCATAATTTAAGTTTAGAGTCGGTTCTAGGTGGATGTTTTAGATTGAAACTTGAAAAGATGAAAGATCGAAATTGTATCATAATTAAGTATTGTATCATGATTGTATCACAATTTGTACCTAAAACAATACATGATACATTACTAATACAAGTATAATACGATATTGATTCAGTTTAAGTTTAGAATTGGTTTTAAGTTGTATCGTAATTGTATAAGAATTCTTTCAAGATTATATCAAATTTGTATATCTGAATTGTATTTGATGCATCAATACATGAAAAAAATACTTGATACAATTACAATACAATCTTTTATCAAAATTATATTAACTTTAGAGTAGTAACATGTACGGGTAGAAAATTTTCAGATTTCCTATAATTACTAGGATGTATCTTCAAAATTGTATAGGATCGAAAATGTTATCGTACAAAAAATAACCATTTCCTTGGTTCCATTTCTATGGCGAGTATGGCTTCTTTTTTTGTTCAAGACTTTTTTTGTCCATTTGTATTTTTCTTGTGCCTTCTTATACTAGAAACGAGTATCTTATATAGAGTTTTCGAGAAATTGGAAGAAATAAATTAGTGAAATATTATTGGAAGAAGAAGTTGCTTCCAGATCTGCGTAGAAGAAAAGGGAAGGAGGGGAGTAGAGAAAAAAAAGGAATGGATATAATTCAATCCCTTAATTGAATGTGCTAATAATGAGGTAAGAGCTTTTTAAGGAGGAATACATACACTTTGTAAAAAAACTCTAGATACTTTTTGAAAACTACAAAACCTAGAGAAAATAGATAAATAAATTTCTATTATAGTATATATAGGAAAAAATCCCAATTTAATTTGTTAACAAATTAGGGCCCCTCATCGGGATTTTGCTTTAGGTCACTAACAATGTTGGGCCGTCCCTGATATTACTGCAACTTAGTAACAAAATAAGTATTATTTTTATGCAGGGCTACAACTGAACAATCAAATAATATCCCTCCAAAGCAATAAACCATGAGACACTGGTGAATTGGGAAACAATCATGCAGTAACAATTACGGAGACCATAAACAGTTTACAAAATGTCTGATAAGAAACGATGGAGTCTTGTAACTTTTGTTGAAAGAAAATGCATATATCACCATTGAAACAAACTCTAAGTTTTCAAGTTAGTACTAAAGTGAGGAAGGTGTCGCGAGAAAAGTTATAATCATCTCATAATCCAAGCAAATATGTATCATTCTTTTTTATCAGTGACTCAGTGACTGTATATTATTCTTCAGTTAACATTCCTAGAAAGAATTTATAATTTTCACGATTTTCATTTACACTAAACAATAAACATTGAACTCATATGGCAAAAGGTGAATTTTGCTGCTCTTATATTCATTTTAAATGCATTACCCCTCCAATTGTCACTTTTATTACAAAGAAGTTAAAAGATCAAACCATTTAGCAGACCGTCTAAAGCACTAAGATATCATTTCTTCAGTGTGCACTTCCTAATATGATATAATAGTGACTTCGTTAATTCTTAATGTCAAAATATTAGTTGTCGTTTCAAATGGATGTTCAAAAGATGCCTTTATCATTCTGCTAAAGACTTTATGTCTTTCATCTCCACTGTTAAAACTAAATGATATATTTCGTTAATTTAAAAAGATTTATTATGACTGTGCGAAGCACGGGAAATTATCTAGTATAAAAGGAAAGGGAGGGAGCAATTATGGTAGTTGGATAGCGATCTTGGTTAAAGTTCACTTTATATCTTTTCTAGGGCAAGGCTAGGAGAGAGAATATGTCTGTCTATATGGGGAGAAATTAAAAAAAACCAGATTTACTAGTGGTCATTCAAAAATAATCACATTTTTAAAAGTAATCGAAATTTAGCCACTTTTTATGTAAAGATAAATTTGAACGAACATACTGTTCAAAATCTGGAAAATACTCCAGCATATTATACTGGAGTTCCAGTGTAAGTATATTGGAACTCCAACATAATATAATGTAGTTCTAGCATAAGTATACTAGAAATTCAGCATAATATACTGGAACTCCAGCATAATATATTAGAGTTCCAGCAAATTATACCGGTCCGGTATAATAAACTGGAAGTTCATACACAGGCACTCGAATCTCCAGTATATTATGCTGGAATTTTTCGTGTGTTGGAATTTCAGCATAATATGCTGGAAGTTTATACACAAATGCACCAAACTCCAATATATTATGGTGAACCGGTTTCTGTTACAGCAAAATAGTGGCTATTTTTTTAATGATACTTATATATCCTCTCGTATCTCATGAGTCTAACTTTTGAGATTGGCCTTTTGAGTTTTTGGTCAGGTAGCAGGAAATGTATATATTCCTGCACCCCGCCCACCCATAAAAAAAGACACTCTGCAATTTTTCCTTTTTTCAAACACTTTAACTTTAAAAATATTATTATTTACCCTTTGACACGCTTTTAGAGGGATATGATATGTTGAAGTCTTGAAGATAAAGAAATAATACTAGCAAGAAAAAGAAAAGGTAACAAAATAATAGTAACAATTTTTTGGTACTTATTTAGCGAGTTCTAAACCAAAATGAAGAGTTTTTGGACTCAAAACACGTTTTTATAATTTAAAAAAAAAATTATTTTTCTACCTAAAACGCAGTATTATACTGTGCTTTACTTTAACAAAATTTTAACCTTTAAAATAAAACACAGTATAATAGTGCATTTTTCATAGCCTTCTATCTAGGGACTTTCCAACTTTTTGTGCTATTTGAAACTCAACCCTACGTGTCAAAAAACACTTATTTGATGAATTTTGATGGTAACATTATCCAAACAACACGTGTGAAATGTCAAAGGAGGCATTTGTTACAGATCAAGAGACTCTCTTTTCTATGTTTAGGTTCCATGGCATTAGTACAAATAAAATCATTGGTATATATTACCAGTTTAAAAATCTATTATTCTTGTTTGATTACTTCTAAATATGCTAATTTAACCACATTTGATTTGTGGATTATATATGTGTCATTTCAGCATTGCACGAGAATGTTCATGGACCACAAACTATACATGGTCTGTTACGTAAATAGCTAGAAAACTAAGACTTATTTTAACTTTGTTAATTAAATGCGACATAGGACCACAAATAGAACAAGCCATAAGTAACATTTGCTGCAGAATGATTGGAGCTTTAAGCATATTTGTGGAGTTCATTACTCATATGATCACTGAACTTTGCAAAATGATGGAACAAGTCACTTAACTTTAGTTTGTAACAGGAAAATCACTTAACTTTTTCGAATGCACAAAGATAATCACTCAACCAGAAATATCAAATTTTTCGGTGGAAAAAGATGACATGGCAGTCTACATGGAATTTTTTATTATTTGACCAAATAACACCCAAACAAAACATTAAAATTCTGCCCATACACCCAAACGACCCGACGTGCATAAAAACCCACCCACTTAATAAAATAAACACAAAGGACTAACCAAACGCTCTGACCATTTCATGCTACTCTCTTCTTCTCCATGGTTTCACTATAGTTCAAATTTGAGCTTTTCAACATGGAATTGGAAGGTGCATCAAGTAGAAAATATAAAAAATCTCAAAAGAAGGAATCCATCTCTTCTCCACAACCATTGTTTAATGTGGATTCGAACCACTATGTCGAGGGTATTGCACAGTGCTGAGAGAAAACGAGGTACTCTTAATAGATATTATTTTTTTGTCTTTATATGATAATTTTTAAATTGGTATCTGTTGTTATCGAAGAACAACATGGTTAGTGTTTTTTAATACTTTAGGTGTTATAAATTTTTATACATGTGGGGTTTAGGGTTTATTATATATATGGGTTTCTAATTCTTTTGGAATTAGGATTTATTATAGTTTAGGGTTTTAACATGCAAGTGTGTTAGAGTAATAATTATTTGTCGATGGTTGAACTATTTTTGAACTCTTTATTTTGTATATTCTGTAGGAGTGGTTGGAAATTCTAGATGGGGTATTTCAGGAAAATAGTGTTTTGAGTAATACGGTGGCTGAGAGGAAGGGTAATGGTGTCGATGGTGATGAAGAAAGTGAGGATGAAAATCGGTTAGATGATCAAGATTTCAATGATCCAGACTATAACTTAGAGGAAGATGATGACGATTATCATGATATTACTGTTGATAATCATGATATTACTGTTGAGAATTATTTTAAGAAGGCAAAAGGAAGACCAAAAAAAATACCAATGATGGAAATAATAGAATTGGACTATCTGTTGGCATCCTAATTTCAGAAATAAATGAAAATGGTGATTCAGATTATGCTGAATCTGATGAATTGGTAGAGTGAGATACTGATAAAGAAGATGAGGTAGAGGTCGCATATGAGGAGTATAACAAAGAAATGGACAACCCTATATTAAAACTAGGAATGAAGTTTGGGTCTTTTAAACAGTTTAAGGAGGCTTGTATGAACTGGGGGGATTAAGAATAGGAGACAATTACATTTCAAACCCAATGACTCAAAAAGATGTGTTTGTCGATGCAAGCAGGAAGGGTGTCCCTTTAGATGTTTGTGCTTGTGCAAAGTACTGAAGGTATTTCGAAAAGAGGCAGGATTTTCAAGAGTCATGAAGGACTATGTTTGCAAAGTCTTAAAGAAGTCTCGGAAGTGAACTATCAAGTTTTCTTTTTGTTTTTGTGCAAACTACTAATGTGACACAGTTTATTATGTGTTATTTTTTGTTTGAACTTGTGGTCTTATAAACTTAACTCACTAGTTTGTCTCCATGTGTTGCTTTGTAAGCAATAATTTTTTGTTAAGTGGTGTTGCTTATTTATGCAACATTCGTTCTCCCATTTGATAACGTGTGTAATTTTACATTAAAAGTAGTTGCTTAATGAGAGCAGTTGTCAAGCCGATTACACCCCCTCCAAGTAATTTGTTTTAACTTTTAAAGTTATTAAATTTGTGCAAAATTGCTATAGAAGTTTATGCACCTTCAAAGCTCAATTTTGGACTACAGTGAAACAATGAAGAAAAAGAGAGTAGCGTGAAATAATGGTAGTGAAACAATGGAGAAGAGTGTAGCGTAAAATAATGGTCAGAGGGTTTGGTTAGTCTTTGGTGTTTATTTTATTAAGTGGGTGGGTTTTTATTCCGCGGGTCGGGTCGGGTCGTTTGGGTGTATGGGCAAAGTTTTTATGTTTTGTTTAGGTCTTACATGGTTAAATAATAAAAAAATCCATGTAGATTGTCATGTCATCTTTTTCCACCAGAAAATTTAATATTTCCGGTTGAGTGACTATCTGTGTGCATTAGGAAAAGTTGAGTGATTTTCCTATTACAAACTAAAGTTAAGTGACTTTGTTCCATCATTTTGCAAAGTTCAGTGATCATCTGAGTAATGAACTCCATATTTATGCAACGTCATTAGTCTCTAGTTTAGGCGATGATCTTTTAATCTAATCTCCAATTAGTTAAGTTCCATATACTAACGGTGCAAAATATATTTACACAATATTTATAAAGTAAAGTGCAAGTAGATTTCTATGGTTATTGTAATTGCAAGTAGATTTTTATGACAGTGATAGTCAGATAAAAAATTACACACACACACACACACACATATATATATA